TTTTCTATATATTCATGTGTTCACTTGTCCTCTAGGTATGGAAACTGGCCTTGCATATAAGCTGTGTGCCCAGCCTTCTGGTATTCTTTAGTGACAGAAAATGTGCTAAGGCATCCAGCCAGCGGTGAATGGATAAACAACCCGGTCTGCCTGCACTGTGTAGTAGCACTCAGCCAGGAAGAGCACAGAGCACCAACACAGCTACAGCACTGCTACTGACAACGGCCCTAAGTGAGGAAAGCCAGACACCGGTGGGCACATCTTGTTCCCACTGATAGAAGACATCCAGAACAGGCAGATCCAAAGACAGGAAGAGGACCCGCAGTGGCCAGCAGCTGCGCTGGGAACAGGAAGTGAGCGCTGCTAGGTGGGGGCTCTACCTGGCATGGGAGCACACACCTGTAATCCCAGACTCAGGAGGTAGAAGAAGGAAGAACATGAGCTCGAGGGCAGCTGAGGCCACATAGTGAGTCCCAGCCTGGTCTGGACTATTTCAGAACAAACCAAGGGCAGGTATGGGGTCTCCTTTTAGAGTGACAATAATAATTTTGAACTAGATAGAGATCGCAGTTGCACAATTCTGTGGATGTACTAAATGCCACTGAATGGTTCACTCGAAAAGGGTAAACTTGGCTCTTTAAATTTCACCTCAAGAAAACCCGCAAAGTGACCAGAGAACAGGCTCTGTGAGCTATCTGGTCTCCCACCAGGCCCCACCCAGTGAAAACATGGGCGAAAAATTGAAAAGATAATTTGCCAAGGACCTGAATAGCAACTACTACGGCTTATATCCCGCTGTCTTACAAAGGCTCACACAGTCAGAGGTGGCTGGATCTAGAGTGGGTGCGCTGGAACTCACTCACGGTGCAATGCTAGGATTAAGAATGCTGGACTGCTGGTCATGGTGGCTTGCAGCGGGAGGACCAGTACAAATTCAAGGCCAGCCTGGGCTACAAAGTGAGTTCAAGGCCCTGAACTACAGAGTGAAACTCTGTCTCAAAAAGAAAAAAAAAAGGGCTGGGAAATAGCTCAGCCACATCAGTACCTCCCTGGCAAGTGCAAAGTCCTGAGTTTGATCCTATTACAAAAAAACCACTAGGATTAAAGGTGTGAATGCTACCTGCCCTAGATAAGATAGAAGGGACAAAAGAGGCTTGTCTCAGCTTACTGGCCTCGCATCGGTCTGCTACTGTCTTCCATGAACCTTTGTCCTCTGCATGCCCCTCTCCCATGCTGCCTGCCTTGGAGCCAGCCAATTAGGAACTGAATCCTATGACCTGTGAGCCAAATAAACTCTTGGGCTGGGGAAATGGCTCAGAAGAATAAGCGCTTGCCTGGCAAACTCAAGGGCCTGAGTTTAAGCCCCAGTTCCGCCAAAACAAGACGGGACAAATAAACTCTTACTCCTCTTACTCTGGGTGTCTGGCATTTTGTCTCAACGATAAGAAAAGGAGAGACATCCAGAAAATCCATAAAAATAGCCAAACTCACTAGCTACTGGGGAAATGCAAATTGAAACCACAATAAGCAATGAAGCACATCTATAAGAGTGGCTAAAAGAAGGACTGGCCATGCCAGCTGGTGGTGAAGATGCAGAACAAACGCAACTTTGTTTTTTGAGATAGGATCTCACTATGTAGTCCAGGCTGAACTTGAGCTCACAGCAATCCTCCTACCTTAGGCTCCCACATGTTGGGATTAGACGTGCACCGTGCCCTGCATTCCGATTCCTTTTCTAAAATGTTTTATTTTCAGATAGTATCTTATTTAGTTGGCCTTGCTAGCCTACAACTTGTGACCCTCCTGCCCCGGCCCCCTAAGTAGCTAGGATTATAGGCATGTACCTCTGTTCTGCTTGCAAATGGAACTCTTGAACACTGCTGGTAGGGATACCAAATGTAATTGTTTTACACAGTAGGCTTGACAGTTTCTTCTCTCTCTCTTTCTCTTTCTCTTTCTCTCTCTCTTTTTTGGTCATTTTGAGGCAGGGTATTTTGCCTCAGCAATGCACGTCAGGCTGGCCTTGAGCTCACTTTGTAGCCCAGGCTGGTCTCAAACTCACAGTGATCCTCCTGTCTCAGCCACCCGAGTGCTGGGATTACAGGCATGAGCCACGACACCCAGCTGGCTTGACGGTTTCTTAAAAAGCTGGACGCACATCTATCCCGTGACCCATCGGCCCGCTTTTAGCTACCTCCTCAATAGGGCAACTGTGCTGCATCCACACAAAGACACTACCTGGATGTTCCCAGTGGCTTTATTTACAATTGCCAAGATGGAAGCAACCAAACAGTCCTCCAATCGGGTTAAACAAACTGTGTCCACACACTTGGCACTATAAGGGTAATCAGTTTGTTGCTGTTCATTCACCAGTGATAAAGAACAAACTTCTGGGCCAGCAAGATAGCTTAGCGGACTAAAGCACCTGCTTAGGCAAGCTTAGGCAAGCGCAGGGACAACGGTTTGATCTACAGCACCACATGCCACGCCAGCCTCAGAAAGAAAAGAGAAAGAGGGGCTGGAGAGATGGCTCAGTGGTCTAAAGCACCTACTTGGAACTAGCTTGGCAAAGCATCAGGGACCGCGGTTCGATCCCCCAGCACCACATGCCAGCCAGCCCCGCCCCCTGGTGGGCTGAGCTGGCCACACACACACA